GAATTTTTTCTGAGTGTTTTTTCTGAGTGTTCGATCTTTGTATTAATAATTATAACAAACTAGTGGAGTAATTTCACAAAAAATAATTGAATATCAATTCAATAAAAATTTAAATAATAATTTGAAGTTACCATTATTTATGTAGTAAAACGATGGGATAACGGTTGCCTCTCAATTAGAGGTCGACTGTCGACGGTTCAAATCCCGAGGCAGCACTGACTATTCTATGAACTATTCTATGACTTTTCGATGAAGATATGTACACTTGTGAAAGTGTAATACCTATTAAATTCTCGCTAACGGTGAAGGAAAACTGCACATAGCAAAAGTTTCAGAGCCTTTGGAAAACGTGTCCCCAACCGCAATACGACCTAAACTCTCTCCTTAGAAATGAGCCCTGCCCAGCAGCGGGACAACTAATGGGTTGATGATGATTTAGAATAGAATATACATTTATTGCGACGCCACAATACGTAGATACAAAAAAATATTGAAACCAATTAGACAAGCAAAACAAAATAAAAATACGTAATAAACAAAATTAAAATATTTAAAAAAAGACAAAACAAACAAAAAGCAAAAAAAAAACGTGTGCGGTTGTGGCGTACGCAAAATGACTTCATTCAGGTTAAGCAACAGTCGTAATTGTATGTGGCGCTGGTTTTCAATGAGTCCTGAGCTGAGTGATTTAATATTTAAATCACTGTCAATCATTAATTTTACACCCATTCACTGAACAATAATTACGGGATTGCGATGATTTTTCGTACGAAATGTGCCGTACGACCAGGGGGTTGATTGGGGGTTGATTGGTTGACCTTACGATAACTCAGTTGTCGACCGATTCGATTTGATATCGTATGGTTTCATTTTTATTCACACCTGAATCGAACGTCAAACTGTCGTATTCGAAACCGAACCGAAATGACGTCACTCCGGTACGATTATCGAACACACACACAGTTATCGAATGAAAGTTACCGAACGTCCTATTGTTTACAAAGCAAGAATTAATATAGTAATCTCTTATTATTTTAAATAAAGTTTGGATTTTGTTCAATTATATTAATTTATTTTAATGCAAGACTAATGCATTCCTATATTTTAGGCCTTTAAAGTCTTAAAAATGTATATAAAAGGAGTTTAATTTTCCTTATAATCTATTTCACCGACTAACTCCGTAAACGCTGTTGGATAACGATATCGTATCCGAATTTGAATCGAACGTTTAACTGAATAGCTGGCAAAGCGTCCTTCGATTCGAGAATGATATCCAATCGAACAATCGAATTAAAATATCGAAGGGTTCTGAATCGGGGTTCAGGTGCGCATGCAACACCCGCTGCCGGCAATACACTCAGCGGTAGGCACTTATTGTTAATATTGTTAGTTAAGTCAGACGGAGGTCTATTATAATAAATAATAACTTTATTGATAGCCATTTCACTTAGAATTTTGTATCTTAGCTTTTCTAAGCTAAGATACAGGATAACTAAATATTTGCTAAAAATAAAAACCAAGCCATCAACTTCTATGCCATGTGTTGTTCCAGTGTTCCTAGTAATGACAATTTTTTTGGCGTTTTTAACGTGTTTGTGTATGGGTTACTGTTTTTACCAAAACGTAAATAAGCAGGAGGCTCTGCACCGAGAGGTTAACTTTAACTTAATGAATTCGAAATAATTTAATCTCTGATGGACAATCCTAGTTCTATTTTCAAAGAGATGACATGTACCTTGATCATTTCCTCAACATCGCCTCTAAGCATATTTCCTTTCTTCAAATGCTCGAGCATAGCACGGTTAGCAGTCAAGTGCATATCGGTCCACATCACGCCGGGTTTCCCTTCCCTAAAATACATAGACAAGTAAATATTCGGTTTCAAGTAATTTTTTTGACTGGTAATGGCCAGTGAAGCAGAGAATAAAGAATAAGAGTACGGACACTCTCCGCCCCTTCCTAGTTTTAGATACCGCACCACGCCCCGCACATTGCCAGTCACATTGACTGAACGACAACAAGGCTGCCGGTGAGCCGTTTTCGCGCGAAGACGGCTTTGATATTTGAATATAGTTTTCATTTATTATTTACGAAACTTGTGCGTTAATATAAAACATCATTTTACGTTACTATTTATAATGGTCGTGAATTGTGCTGTGTTGGCTGTTTATCATCATTTTCCGAAAGATGAAACGAAGTAAAAAAACTTATGTCTGAGATGAGTCTCAGGGTCGTATTCCAGAAATCTACTCAATACTCAAGTCAGGACTTGAGTATTGCAGTGAGCACTGAAGATCATACATTAAGTCTTTGCCATTAGGGTCGTATTTCCAATGCTTGAAATCGTACTCAAGTCTGCTCAAATCCTGACTTGAGCATTGAGTAGAGTTCTGGAATAAGACCCTCAGTCTTCGATCAGTTATTGTATTCTTCATTTATTACTGCAGAGTAATATATGTATGTATAAAGAATACAGATTTATTATATCAATATAATGAGACGCCATAACTTCGTGAGCTAGTAGACAAGGGTTCGCGAATTTTCTATTCGTATTGCAGATATACACACATCAAAAAAAGTTTGCGATCACTTCGAAAAACTGAAATCTTTTTTGTTACTGTAGATTATATTATGATTTTGTTCTTCTTTTTAGATTCTTTATTTAAAAATAAATTAGAACATAAAACAATGACCCCGTTCAATTGTTTTTTCATATAAAAAGGCTTTCAGTCCTAGCTTACGCTCATTCAGAAATCTGATTTAGTCAATTATAAGCGATTCAAGATATTTTTCGCGGAAAGTTGTGATTGAAAAAATGCCAAGAGGATTATCAGAGGTTTTACGAGCTAGAATAGTAACTTTGAGGGAAGAAGGATACACCACGAGAGTAATAGCACGCAGACTTGCTATATCCCAATCCTGTGTCGTGGCTACGTTGCAGAGGTATCACGGAATGGGGAATTTAGCTGACCGACCCCGCAGCGGTCGCCCAACTGTTTTGACAGCTGCCCAAAAGCGCTATATTAGATTGCTGGCAGCCCGTGATCCAACAATCAACGCCACTAAAATAAAAGCAGAAGTCAGGGCCGCCTCTGGGCTTGAAGTTAGCACGCAGACCGTTCGCAATTGCTTGCACCAGGCTGGATTACGAGCACGGAGGTCTTGGCGAGCTCCGCTCAATTCCCGGCAACGCCAACAACGAAGATTGCAGTGGGCTAGACTTCGGCAAAATGAAGAAGGTGAGGACGAAAACATTTGGCAAAACTGTCTCTTCGTTGACGAATCCCGAATCAGCACTCATCCAGATAACCGACGTGTCCGTGTCTGGAGAAGACCAGGCGACCGTGAAAGACAAAGAACTGCCACTGGAACAGTTCAGCAAGGCGGAAAATCGGTGTCCTTTTGGGGTGGCATTATGATTGGAGCTAGAACGCCTTTGATCCCGTATCGGGGCTTCATGACAGCAGACATGTACAAAGCAGTTGCTATTGATGGTATCGTCAGACCATTCCGAGTAAACCATGGGCACCAATTTGTACTGGTCGATGATAATGCGCCCGCACATCGAGCTCAACGAGTCAATGCTGCTCTTCAAGAATACGATATCACACGATTAGACTGGCCTGCCGGCTCGCCCGACTTAAACCCAATAGAGCACGCGTGGGATGCTCTTAAACGAGCAGTATGGAACCGTGAGCCACGTCCCCAGACAGTTCCAGAGCTCAGGGAAGCCGCTATTGAAGAATGGGATAGGTTACCCCAGGAAATGCTGGATAACTTGATCCTCAGCATGCCCAGGAGGATCTTCGCATGTATTCGAGCCAGGGGATGAGTTATTTTATATTGAATTCACACCTTTTAATAATAAGTTGTTGTTTAAGTTTAATTAAACAGTCTTTTTCTTTCTATGAAATTTCTATCACTATTACATTATGATTGATGGCTCAATTTTTTAAAATAAATAATAAAAAATAGTTTTATATTTTAATTTCAAACAGGGTATTCCTATTTAAAGAAAGCATACAACATAGATTTTTTCTTGATAAAGTTAAATTTAAAGAATTATAGGAGCTTATGCTATTGATCGCAAACTTTTTTTGATGTGTGTATTTATATGCAATATTAGATATATTCACTACCTACGTAATATTAACTAAACTAATATTAACTAACTAAATTAATATTAACTAAACTTGGACACGCAATTTCAAATACCTTACTTAAAAGTACGTACATGTCCGAAATATAAATTAAAGTGCTTTTAATGTATTTTTGAAATGAATCTTTAATATTACTCTTGTTAGTGAATTAATGAAAAGTATAATAATATATCGATATAAATACCTAATAAACATGTACAATTATTAGGATTCTATAAATAGAATCATAGATAACAGATTCGCGCTAGAATTTTCGCTATGTTGCCGCTCTGACCACGTAATGTAATAGTGCGAGAAAGTGATGGGTAAGTCTGCCACTTCACTCACACATTTGCGCGTGTGCAGATAGCGCCTTGCTGTATGTAGTAGTAGGTAAATAATTTTCGATTGTTGTATGGAGTGTCCGGGGTGTGACTGAAGTCAGTTCAGGAAATTCTCGGAGGCAGCCGAGAAAATTATGAAGCATGAAGTCATACAGCGCTTTCTTCATTTTAGTTTCACTTAGGTTTCATCTTCCTATGTTCGCATACCGGCCGGCGTAAGCTCGCGGCAGAGAATAAAAAATAACCTCGCGGTGCATTTGCGTTGCACAGAACGGTTGTTTACAAAATGATATCAAATAGCAAACGTGTTTATTGCTGTGTTTATGGTTATTTGAACAAAAGTGCCTCAAATTCAGAATTGTTCAACATTTAATTTTTATTTCATAATCATATTCCCATAATCGAGATACCAATCCACGATGCTGGTATAAAAATTTCAAGCAAGTACTGAATTTAACAAAGGTTATTTCAATACAGCACGAGAATACTGTGATGAATTGAAATAACCTTTGTTAAATTCAGTACTTGCTTGAAATTTTTGCAGCACGAGAATACTGTGATGAATACCTTATTATTTTGTATTGAATAACATTTACAACCTGTAGGTACAACTAAAATAATAATGTGACAACCCTACGCATCGAGAGACGCGACGTGTAGACATTGCCGCGCCAACAGGCGGGAGTTGCACTACTTGTTTTATTTATACTATGCCACAGCCTTCCGCTATAATCCTGACACACAACTTTCGCCTAATCAACACGCATCATTGCTTTCATCCAGGTTCGTCGAGCAAGGGTACTTTTAACCTTGGCGATAAGTGGACTACGGCGTACGCATTTCAACGAGAATGAAGATGTCCTTAAAAAGGCAAGGTCAAAAGTAACTAGATCAAACGAACGTGTACTTTCATTGTAAGATGTGAGTAGAGGAAGCAAAGAGGTATGTAGTCAGGAGCATAGCAGGTGGACGTGAAAAATGTCACTAGTTATATTGTGGCTGCAGTATTCATCTAAAACACTGAAGTGATGTACGACAATTAGTCGACAGTTTTTTGTTGGCACTTGATTACAATTTTACTTACCTCACCACAGCATCTCTGCCAGCCAACACGGCCTCATAGACCAGGCGTTGATCGTCTGTAAACTTGCCGTTGGCTGGGAACGAGCACGTGATGTCTGCCGCGTACCCAGCGTAGTTGCCGCCCATGTCGAACAAACTGCAAACATACGCTATTCAAGTATAACAAATTACGAAGTATATTCAAAGTTCAATTTAATTTACTTCTTAAACTTAGGCAAAGTTTGTTCTGTAAATACGAAAAACTTGCTTGACTCGCTTTTCAGCCGACTTCAAAAAAGGAGGAGGTTCCCAATTCTACTGCTTTTTTTCTTTTTTGTATGTATGTCACACGATAACTCAGAAATTTGTGAACCGATTTCGATGATTCTTTTTTGTTGGAAAGAAGGTAACTCGGTAGTGGTCCCATTTAAATTCGCGCGCTTTCCGGTAACCGATTTCAATGAAACTTTGCAAAAACATCTAATTCCACGAACTTTTGAGGTCGGTTTTTTTAGTACTCTGTACTGAGATTAGTTACTTAGTCGAAGTCAAAGTTCGTATTATAAACCTCAGCCTCAGAAGGTCCATACGATGGATATTGACTACCATCAACATCGACTAACATCTCATGTGTGCCGCGTCAACGCCGCTGACGATTATTCCATGCCGCCGATAACATTGACCGGCGTAAAATCGGCGTGGCGAAAATTTATGTTATATTAATTAAGTAAGTATCAGCTCCTTTGTTAATTATGTATTTCATTCATCAACACAACATTTCCATACGATCAAAATGAATCACGAAACGTCTAAGTACCTACATCCCATTAATACAAAATTTAAATTAAGAGCGTTTATTTTTAAGTGATTGTTTTTTTACTATACTATATTTAATAACGATACCTACATAACCGCTGAAGAGTAAGTTCAAGTGTAAATCTTTGAAAAGGAATACAAAAGTTGATTTAAACAATGTTTTAGTGCTTTTTTACAACACTTGTAAAATATTCGTCACGCCGAGGTCACGCCGCCGATTTTACGATTGGCATATATCTGTTGAGGACCTTTTGCATCCAAAAATGCGTAATGAATCATGGTGAGTTTCGTAGCAGTAGTGCTCCTTGTGAAAGAGTTCATACAGGGAAGTACTGCCACTTCACCTATTTCTGCCGCCAAGCAGTAATGTTAGCATTACTCCGTTCCAGTTTTGGAGGGTAAGGGTGCTGGTGAATTTACAGGCACATGGGACTAGGCAACATATGTCTCAGGGTGACAGGCGCAGTGGCAGTGCCCTTCAGATCTTTGCGATTTAAATTAAATTTGCGATCTAGGTGGCACTGCAACTGTTATGGACAGGCGTGTAGCTTACCATGAGGCGCTCGACTTGTCCGACCCGAAACTTGATATTATTATGTTTCAATTCGGTATAACAACATCAGAGCCTATTGCAAAGACAGAAGCGATGCTGAGGTGGCGGGGAAGTAGCGAGGTCAATTTTACGATACACATCTCACTGCTTCGGACCAGTCTCAACTAAGACCAAAAAATGCGTACTTTATGAAGACGCGTACACGCGTACGCGTCGTTAGTGGCACCTAGAGGCACACGGTGTCTTTAAGGATTTTAGTACTGTGGCGTCCTTTTTTCTTGTTTTTATATTAAATAGGTAGCAAACAAGCATACGGCCCGCCTGATGGAAAGCGGTCACCGTCGCTTCTGAAGGCGTGCAAAACCAGGGGCGTCACGATTGCGTTACCAACCCTTTAGGACGCTTCTCAAATCCCTTTTGAAGGACTCCATGCTATATTCCTGCGGGAAAATCTCGATAGGGAATTCATTCCACAACCTAATTGTGCGTGTGAGAGGAAGCTCGTCTGAAACTGTACTGGGGGCCTACTATGAGTTCTTAGAGCAATTCCATTTAAGCCTGTAAGTTGGATTGCCTGTCTAATTCGTATTATGACCTCACAAAAACAATTCACTGCCCATGCAGTTTACATTCCCCATTCGAAATCCGTTCACCTTTTCTTTCATAGCAAAATCTTATCATGATGTGCTATTTTCCATGCAAATGGCGGTCTCATCTGTCAAAATAAGCAATTCAAAAAAAGTTAATCCGTGACTAACTTTTTTTTAGGTTTTTGTTACATCTTTAAGAAATTTCTAAAAAAGAAATTTATTTAGAAAAAGATTTATTATATTTTCATTTCATTCATTATTTGTTATCTATAAAGGCTATATAGTGAAATTGTCAATAAATAAATACTATTAACTATTGAGTGTTTTTTGAAAATTTTAGTTCGAGTACCCAATCTTTAAAGTATTGTTGATAAATTATTGGCATGAATGTTATTGCAATTTTTAAATGGAATTTTAATCGTTTTAATAATTTTATTGACCGAAAAATGTAAAATGACTTTTATATTGTGCCAAATTTGACTTTAATGCAATCAAGGAAAATGTACGAATACAAGAAACGTTCCAATTATGTTATCAAATTACAAACTCACTTTATTAATTTCAATGAAAATGACTAGACATGACATGTAATATTGTCGTACGACAAATTGTAAAGTATGATTGAAAAGTTGCCGATATTACAAAACAACGTAGTAAATATAATCAACAATAAAAAAAATAAAAAAATATAATTATTCTCACTTCAAACACAATAGGTTAATAGTGCTTGAACGCTCCCGGGATAGTAGATCTGTCTATTAATGTTATTAGTACATATGTCTATGATTTACTATGTAGTTCCATCTCGCTCTTGTTAGATGTCAGTAAGCCAGCCAGAGACAATAATTAACGTTTAAAAAGTAAAACTCATCATCCTGTCATGCCATTCCCGTTCAACTTTATGTAGGTCGTGATACGAATTTAAGCAATTCAGTTTACCACGTCAAGTGAATTGCATGGAATTTTGCTGGCTGCTTATAAGCTCATAGTAGGCCCCCAGCACGAGATCGATTCGGTTCCAAAGTGTGAGGATGGACTCCCTGCCGGTGGTGAGAGGCGTCCTAGAGCCGCAGCTTTGTTTCATCGATTTAAAAAAAAAATGAAAATATAATTATTTTTTACCTACTTACATTAAATCGTTAAGAGTTAGTATGACGGGTTAAAAAAGCTTATATAGCATGATCTATAGCTGAGGATACAAACCACATGTCTCCGTCTCGAATAATCTTCGAATTGGGCGCGGCGGCGTGTCCGTAGTGCAGCGTGGCGCCGGTGAAGCCCGAGCCGCAGATGCACGTATAGGACACGTGTCGGCACCCGCCCACGCGGTAGCAATGGTCTAGAAACACTGACTCGCATTGATACTCTTTTAGGCCTGGTTTAGCGTACAGCATCACCTGGGGATTTAAAATAGAGTAAATATAATCTCAGTATCCAGAGTACTAAAAAAACCGACCAGAAAAGTACCTGTTCCTGCTGCCAAGCAGTAATGTGAGCATTATGGCGTTTCGGTTTAAAAGAGTAAGGGTGCTGGTGAAATTACAGACATATGGGACTTTTCAACTTGTCTCAGGGTGACGAGCGTAGTGGCAATGCCCCCTCCGATCTTTGCGATTTAAAGCTATGAGCGGCATTGCAACTGTTATGGACAGGCGTCTCGCTTACCACCATGGGTACGACTTGTTTGTCGCGGTACTTGATGTCATAGAAAATAGTGATAAATTACCTGTTTGTGTGCGTCGGACGATACTTTGCACACATAGCGCAGGACTTCGATTTCCTCGGGAGTCTTAATGACGCGACTGCAAATTAAATTCTAAATTACTTTCGTATTTTGGAATTAAAAGCACGTGTACATAAAAAAAACTTCGTCTCTATAACGAAGCAGTTTTATCGAGTTTGTTCTCAGGAATGGCTATTTAATACTGCCACTCTCGCATAGATAATATCGCGCTTCATGTCAACAAGTCGCGCCCTCTCGTGCCAGCACTACACTAAGGCGATAGACGAACTGATGACAGAAACGTGTAAAAGCGGCCTTCTACGGTGCGTGATTTTACAGATTTCTCGCCCTATCATGTTAACAGTTAACCAATTATAGGATGACTACCCATCGCAATGCAATTCTTCGCTGAGCATTAAATCCATGCACCGTAACGGACGGATATGCGTAACCACGGACAAACCTCTTCCCTTGGTGCCCGGGTGTGATTTCGTGAGAAGTGAAGGTAACGTAAAGTTGAAACGACCGTAAGAAACCGCCTTAACAGATTTTGAGTTGTCAATGGGAATTACGTAAAAAACTTTCATTTTTCTATGAAAGCAGTAAAATTTTCTAAAGTTGAGCTTCGGAGCTCTTGGGATTTTACGTAAGTTGACGTTGCGTCGTTAACCTATATGGCTTCAAAGCATTTTTTCACAATAATTTTTCCCTCATCAGTTACAAGAATAAAATTCGATTAAGGTTATGTATAACACTTTGAGTGGGATTATCTCGCTCTAAGTTTCGTGTCCCGTTGTCCCCAGAACACTTACAAATGTCCCGCTTTGACAAACAGGAAACACGTGGCAATAAATTTAATAAACCTGACATATTATTTTTATCATATTTGCGTAGAGTGCGAGAGAGTTCAAACAGAGTTCTTAAAACGATAGGGGATAGGTGGGATTCCGATCTGCTTGCTAGGTTCGCCGAACTTCACGTCCTGGGAGCTCGGTGAACTTAGCAAGTATCACGTATCATGTAATAATTTCATTGTGTAATCAATTATATTCATTTCATTCATTCATTCATTTTATTTTGTAATTTTTGTACTAACAGTAGAATAGATAGCTTGTAAGTGTACTAACAAAATGGACTGTATATTGTCTGCAATAAATTATTTTTATTTTATGTATTTATTTATATTAAAGCAAATTTGTTCATAGGAAAAATATATAACGTCAGCTCACCGACTACATAAGAGCAGTGCTCTATATATATTTTTTCATTAAATATTTGATTTTTTTTAAATCATTACACATTTCGTTATTTATATGTTTTATTTTTAAAATAAAATAAATATATAGGCGTCCCGCTCTGAAGGAAAAAAATAAAGGTCACGTTAGTTATACCCCGACATTCTATGTATATTGGTACGGGCAATTATCTGGTAATCATTTAAAAGAACACGTTAACATGTTAAGACATAAGGCTTAAATTTACACTGGCTTTTCACAAGATTAAAGGGTTTCTTCATAAACAATCATTAAACGTTTACGTCATCCAATTTAAGTTAATCCATTCGAGTTTTAACTCGAATGGCTCCAAAGCTTGAACTCAAAAAATTGCGTTGTAAAGCTAACGAGAGGACAGAGTGTGTTTTAGATCCGTACTCGTAGCTATGAATTATCGTAATAAGCGATGATGTAGACGTATTCAATGCATAGAGTGCAGATATTGCAGACTGAGAAGGACAGTGACACAATGCAAAATTTTCGAATTTGAGTAATGAGCAATTAAAGTTCTGTAAATTGTAATAACTGCAATTTTTTACTCAACGAAGAATTTTCAATGCTGTTTTGAGCTAAAATAAAAGGGAACATATTTTTTGAAATATTATACAAGTTTTCACCTACCACAATCAAATAAAAGTATTTTTGCTGATTTCGTGTAGTACTTATCACTAATTCCTCGTAATATTTCATGTAAAGTAACATTTGTTATTATGCAATATCGTCACAAAGGATTCATAAAAACAAATTATGCCATGAATGTTAAAATTTACCTTGTTCCCCTTACACAGCATAACGTCACTTGTCATATAGCAAATTCTAGGCAGTCAACGTACAGGGGCTTTTTGCATTATAAAGTTCGTACTCTCAAATCCAAAATGACGTTAATAATCTCAGTACAGAGTATTAAAAAAACCGACCTCAAAAGTAAGTGGAATTACGTCTATTTGCTAAGTTTTATTGAAATACCCCGTAGTTCGCCACTATACAGGACTTGACACTGGAGATAATAAAAATCGGTTCTCACTACTCAAAGTATATTGAGAGAAAAACGACTTGAATTGGAGAAAAAGCAAAATCAACCATTAAAGTAATTGCTCCTAAATTAAAGTTAGGCGCTATTTATAAAAATGAATCTTCATGCGTGAACAGCCACCCTTCGAGGTGGATGCTTTTCTTCAAAATGAAATGGGACCACTATGGAAGTACCCCCTTTCCAACAAAAAAAGAATCATGAAAATCGGTTCACAAATACCGGAGTTATCGCGTAACATACATACAAAAAAAAATTTCAATCGAATTGAGAACCTCCCCTTTTTTGAAGTTGGTTAAAAATATCTTACATAAAAAAACTCTTTATGAATAATAATGTTATAAATAAAAATAAAATTGAATTCGTGTTTTACAAAACAACTATTTCTCTGACAACCTTTAGTCGCCTACTCTCGCTTTGCAAGCTTTTTTTAACATACAGACTAACTAAAGACCGCTTAAAAGTAAAAAGTCCTTTTATAAGCATGCTTATTTAAAACAGTAAAACGTTTTATCGTTTAAAATTAATAAGCAGTATTTCCCTCAATGCTATCAATATTGAATGTTGTTATAACTATAATATTCCCTACACAATATGCGTTAACATACAAAAATCGAATGGTATTAGTGTGTCATATACATGATCTTTCTGATTACTTCAATATCTATCGCTTTATGTAGCTAAGCCGCAATCAATTGATGATAATATTATCAGTGCCACAGTTATCGACACTGTTTTGCATTCAAGATTTGTTGATTGCCATGAAATTAAATAGTCTACATAAGTAACATTTATAACATTCTAAAGGACTGGATCTCAGTGACGCAAAACAGAGAGGTGTGGAGAGAGGAGAGGGAGGTCTTTGCTCAGCAGTGGGACAGTATAAGCTCATAATAATAATAACTAACATTTGCGCAGAAATCGAATTTGTTTACAATCTATACTCACAGCTCTGCGATGATGGGGAATAAACTTTCATTATCCACTTTGAAACTGAAAACAATAAAAAGTTCAAGTTAATTAATTTATTATAATAATAAACTAGTATAAATTATGTAATGAAATAAATCTTCTTTTTGGTTAGCTGGAATTTTATTCTGTACAAACATTGAACAAAAGTATGTACATACTTTTGTTAATAAATGTTGATTTCTTGGACATTTAGTTTATTTTGTAACAATTTGTTTCCTTGCATACATCTATTCTTATTTTATTTAAACGCTTATAGAAGCAAAACTTACTCATTAATCCCTTCAAAAACTGCTTCCTTAGCAGTCAGGCCACTGTCCGTGTTTGTTCCACTCTGGAATAGTGTCTTTTATTTACACAAATTAACACAACTATTATAAGATTAAAGTCATTTAAAAGAATTATGAACATGATGTATGTCATTTGATATTACTAATTTAAATTTTACCACATACTCAATCAACTTGGAATGTAATATAATAATAACAAAAGAAAACATGAAAAAGTAAGGTCGGAAAGGAAATAATTTCCTTTTTATTAAAAGCTTATATTTTTTATTCAAATAAACCAACATTTCAGGCCCTTTACAGGTCCCATAGCTGACCTGTAATTTGATGAAGATTTGATGGGACCTGCGAAGGACCCGAAACATTGGTTTAAAAAAAACGAATATACACAATTTAGATCCTACTAAATAGTATAATTTCCTACATGTAACAATCATGAAAATCTAAGATTTCAATAAGAGAAAACAACATTTATGAAACTGACCAATTAAACAGTGAAGAGCACATGCAGCTTGACATTTTAGAGTTAAGACCATTCTTATCGCAAGGACCATAAAGTTAAACTTAAATGATAAATATATCAAAACATGTTGTATATAAAATTGTTTATTTTATAAGAATCATCTTTCAATATTTAAAGGTAAGTAATAAACTTGCTTACCAAGGTTAATAGGACTTCAGGATTCAGCTCTTTGAGTACTTTATGAAGCTGTAAAAAACAAATGTAATTAAAAAAATATATGGGTCAGGAAAAGGATATCAAAGGTAATATTTCTTTTTGTGTCTTAGAATGCATTGAATAAAGCACAAAAGCAATAGAGAGCGGGTGTGGGTCGGGCGTGGGTCGGATTAAAATTGTGGTGGGTTCAATTTATATGGACAACACACTGAGAGTAGGAGCGGTACGGGCGCTCGCGCGCTCTTAGTGTGTTTCACACTGTAGTGCTTAGTTACCTCTTCTACATAATGTACTTCATCAACTCCATATATCTTTCTGAACTCATCACAGCTCAGCAGTTTGCCCATCCACACCTCATACTCCTCGGGGTGGTGGGGCACAAACAAGTGGGCCCTCCCTGTGCTGACATCCAGTGCAAAGTAGCAACCTGGCTCACGGACACCACATACCCATGTGAAGTACGCCTCCTGGTGGGTTTAATATCAATATTAAAAAACTTAGTTCAGTTTTTACAGATTTAAACACAATTAACACCTTAAACCAAGGTTATAGTTTTATAAATGAGTGCCATAAGTAGTTTAACAATTTTGGATATTAATGGATCCTAAAACAAATCTTGATTTTGAACTATATGTATTTTTAATGGGTAGGAAATTTCATTCATTTAAGTAACAAAATCTAAATACTCAATTTGCAAAATTAGTACAGCTATAACACTTATCACAAGCATGAGGCAACAATAATTTTCGTAAAGCAAACATCATACATAACAATAATTAATACATAATGTATGCACTTACTTGTCTAAACACGTACTCGACGTCGGTATCGTAATGGTTAATAGCATCACCGCCCTGCAAAATTACGATTTGTCCATTTTTCAGCTGGCTCGCCAACCGCTTTCGGTTCTTCTCGAAAAGGGAAAGAGGCACCTCGAGGGTACCAGGACCCATGGACCACGCAGTCGCCATCGTCACTGTCGAAGCTAAAATGAACTCGCTATTTGTTGTAACCCGACTTTTACTGATCCTATTGCGAGCTATTGATAACAACAAAGTATTTGATAACCAACGACTACGTTTTGTTACAGTTTCTTTTAATAAATTACTAGTCCTGTTGTCCAATAAACACTTTCCTCTTGTAAATCTTGAAATAATTCTGCCGTGAAACATTAAATTCACTATAAATATTTATTTATGCTCACTTATAAAACAAAGGATTTGTGATTCTTGTGATGTGAAAATCACTGAACATGTAATTGCCTATTGCTATTGGCGTTGGCGATTGTTATGAAAATAGCTAACCGTGTAATATAATAACTATAAACAATATTATTTTATTATATTTTATTCTCTTTCAAGGTGTAAATTGAAATGGATTGTTTAAATATATAATTGGTATTTTCTATTCTATTCTACTTCCTTAATGGCGGCCACTAGGATGGCCAGTGTCAGTTTAACACTGATTATATGTCAAACAAAATATTTCCTGTCCCTTTCTTACATATTAGTTCAAATGTGTGATTATGTTTTTTTAACTCTTCTAGTATAAAGTATGCATGTGCTGTTTGTCACTTGTAAAGTGGACAGTATTACTACTTCCTACAAGATGACGCTACTCATGCATCTTGAAATATTTTTTTTGTTAGACTATTTACCAAAAGATGGCGTACATAGCGTACATTGTTGTTGCGTAAGGATCGCGTACCGACGACAGCGATTTTCAAACTGTTTCGATTTTTAATAAATGTGATGTTTGTATGAATCATGTCCCGTAACACATAGTCCTCTTACGAATCTTCCTTGCAGTATAATATTTATAGCCCTGCCCTCCATACTCCTGTCCCGCATTCCATCTAAGGAAGAAGGTGGTGACTGAAAACTAGCGCTGCGATTGTCCTGAACAGGAGCAGCACCAACTGACCTCTTCCTCACCTCCTTGGCCTCCTATTAATACTTACTTTAAATTTCGTTTTATTTATATTGGATACAATGGAGATATATTTATTTAACGAAAGGGCAAAACTTCGTAAGAGAAGATTACCGTAGGAGTCGCGTAACTTCTCTTGAAGTTGTTGCCGACGGGTGTTATGAAACGTTAGGTCCCCTAATGAATAGAAAACTTTAATAAGCAAATGAATTTTTTTATTTGCTTTGATTTGTATAATTACTATAACAGATATATTAGTCAGAATATTTTTACACGAGAAAATAGGCTTAGTAATTTCTTTAATTTATATTAGACATCTCTTTTACTTGTATAATATGTTGTATCTTGCAAAAAAGTATTGAAAGTAATAACTATGTGCGCATCCATCATAATTGTAGTTTCTATTATTAAGACAATTAAAGTATTGTCTTTCAGCTTCATTATAAAACTAGAGAACTATTTAATCATCATTATTTTTCTCATTACTGTTATTTTTAGTACGACTGTCTTTTCGTGAAAGAGCTAAATATCATATTAGTGTAAAATTAAATAAAAGATGTTAATATTTATTCATTTTTATTTATACCTAAATCACAAGATCGACGATAAATTAAACTAACTACCTAAAAATCACAAAATGCACTAAAACATGCACACATGTAATATTAAATTGTTTTTAATACCCAAATCGGTACACGACTCATGTACAGACTCATTTTAAAGGGTAATTTTATAAATTATTATTGCCTATTAGTAAGGAAATTGCCTATTTGTAAACAGTTATGCGTTGATAGATCAGCAACGGAACTGAGTACCTAAAATAATCGCAATGTGCGATAATTCAAAGACTTCTTACAAATAAGTCTAACAATAAATCTAAACATGCGAGAAAGTAGTTAATACAATTTTTCATGCAGTATGTACTGTTATGACTACAATCACTTTATTAAATAGTTTTATACATTGACTTCTAATGAACAATTTACATTCATAATAAGTACCATTTGTTTATTAATGCTATGTGGCATAGTATGAACTGCTGAATGTGTCATTAGATAGCGACATGAAATCAAAGAGTTGGTTAAAAATTAACAGTATTTCACGTGCTATTAAGTTCTCCTTATTTGTTAAATAATCTGGTAACGTGCTAGGAGCAGACCACACGAAAATTAATCTTGTGTTTACATAAAATTATTGTGACCTGACAATTGTCTGTAAGTATATATTATATAAATAGGACATCAGAATGTAAAGTAGGAACAATAAAAGCTAGGTAGTTACATCACTCAGTACTTTGATCAGTTTAAGGTCACTATAAAACGAAGAATAAATATTATGATTGTAGGATCGGCCATTTTGGATCGTTCTCGTGATTCGTGTCGCCCCTGTGACACGTCATAGTTAGCCGTCTCGTTCTCGCACGCTCTCCGCATATAGCACCATTGTAACCCGACACGTTTCTTACACACAAGCGATTTCACAACATGTTCCACACTTTCACAAAATAAAATGTTTTGTTTAGGTAACATAAATTAAGAGTCTACTGATATCTCATGACACGATTGTTTCTTTTCCTGTAATCTTCGGACAGCCTCGGCGACAAGGGCACGCTGCTCCAATAGCCTTTCCACTAAATCAACTGGCTCTTGCTTTCTAATGTAGTAAGGTGCTGCTCTTGCTCGTGCTTGCAGGTGAAGTTTTTGTTTCATGCCAAGGGTCAGTTCCTCAATGGCAGGTAATCTACTATTGGATAGCGGGCGAGATTCTTCTGCTGTTGTTTTACGGTTGTCACATCTCGAGCTCTCTCTCAACATAGTGACCGATAACACACTTATACTAGTGTTTTGATAAATTAAGATAAAAAGTGTTTCTAGCAACGCGCGCTTCTACGTTTGCGAATGTCGAATGAATGAGCGAGTGAGCCGACGCGACCCCAGCCAACGTAGGAAAACAGATCTCATCGGGGGCTTAGCGGAGGGAGGGGCATGACGTAGTCAGATGCGCAGTCGTGCCGGGATGTATACAAACAATACGATGGACGTAAATAAACACGAGACGATACAACTACATGCTCGTATTTTCAACAGCTTTATCTGTGTGTGTCTACTACACTTGACGAAGTCGGTTCGCTGCTCTGTGATTCCGGCTGAGTAAGAAACGGTTAAGCGAACGGTAGACAGGTTATGATCTCCTTCCATGTAGAAAAGAGTCAAATGTTCCAATAATTTAGGTCATCGTGTATTGATTTCATTAAGTAGTACCTTGTACTATATCAATATTTTTATCAGCTTACACATTTATTTCAGATCTCTAGCATGTGTAAAAGCTGAAAATCGAAATTAGTAACACTAATATGTCTCTAGGATTATTTACTGAAAATAACACAATATATGATAGCTACATTTTAGTAAGTAAAATTATTACAAATATTTTTTCTTTTTGCAAAAAGCATAAACTAACAACCAAATGAATACAAACAAATACTAGTACCTATAATAAGTCATACCTAAATAACTATGTACCGATTACTCATATTTCGTCTCGTCATATATGGATAACAGTAGGTTTTGTGCAAATATATTAAACCGTACGGGTATGGGCGTAGTGTCGTATATTACTCACCTTAATTATCCGTTGAGTCAATGTGTTAGTGATAATTTGCGTGTAGTAGTCACAATTCTGGCAGTTTTGTTAACCAAAAGTAAAGACGGATATTGCCCTCACTTTTTTGTGATTTCCTGATTCCAATCACGTTGTTGAAGATTGTTCCTACGATTTTTACCGTAGATAGCATATTGTAGCGCATTACAAATCCGTGTCTTTTAATTTGTAGGTACAGGCAAAGAAAAACTAACGCCAATAATTTACTTAGTAAATCTTAAAGTAAATGTAATATACAAATACAGCCTGAAATATACCTATTGATGATAATAAATTGTATTCTATTTTGTGGTGCTTTTATACCACAATGGCTATAATTGTAATTTTATTAGGAGATCTTCGTTACCTTGACGTATGACCGATATATGTTCAATTTATCTGGCTTAATATGTAACAATGTAATGTAAAGCAACATGAGGAGAGGTAAGTACAGGTGCAATTTCAACATGGCGGACGACAGGGCAAGCGAATGAAGTCGTTGACTTCTATATAGTGCGACCGCTATATAAAAACTCACTTGCTTTTGATTGATTTACGAACATTAAAGAGATTGCAGAAAAACATTGATTACATGAAAATTCAAAGCTCTGATTCGACATTATTGTTCATTCAGACGTAGTATTTTATAAACACTTTCAAAAGTGGCAAACCGAAACATTGCTCACGTAATATTCGCGATAAGTAGTAGGCATTGGCTATCGGTATTGTTTTTAGATTGAGAATAAGATATTTTTCTAAGCTATAAACTAAATCCGTCTGTAGTTACTAATTAAAATAACAAGTGAGACGCGTCAACTAAACGTAACTTTGACCTTGTTTACAAATTCATTACTTAGAACGTTACGACATTTCATTATTTTATTCCTACATACGTACTAAAATAGTATCACTTTATTCTCCACGTTTTCCTGTAAATATGCTTTAGTTGCATTAATATATTATAAATACGTTTGTTGTGTGAAGTTAACGAATCGAATTACGATTCATAATACGATGCAAATAATCAAATAAAGTTCGTACTACTTACTCATATATTAAAAAACTTGTCAAGTGCCTAAACATTTTCAGGTATACATTTCACAAGAACGTGAAAACAGTAAAACCAACCTGTTTTGGTAATTTTTATTACTTGGTTTTTTGTTTGGGTATACGAAATAAAAAACACGTTTCGTTGACTAATAATTAAATGTGTGTCATTTAAATAAAATATTTACTATGTAAAGACCTAAGTTAAATTTAAAAATAAAAAGAATAGCATTTTCAGTATTTTTTGTTACTTTTTTATGACATGTCTACCTTGTTAATTATGTAAAATATGTATAAAATGGCAATCTAGTGTAATTTTACAATTACATGTAAAAATAATTTGTTAATAGTTTGAGAACCACGTTTTAATATAATTCAAAAACTTTTTTCGAAAAACT